AGAACGGATAGGGTCCCTGTGGTGAAAATAAAACTTATGTGCCTTTATTTTTGTATTTTAGTTATAATCTATTACATTTTTTATTAAGACTTTCTAAAGAGAACTCTTCAAACATGAGTCTTTGCCCACCCTTTACTCTAAGAGAATGTCACTTTAGTGTGCTGCATTTAAGCTGGGTTTCTGTGTTCTGAAACAAAGATTCCTTCTAATCACAGTTTGACAACTGGTGTTTTGATTTTTATTCTTTAGGATTTTGTAAATCTGTTCTGCTTTAACAAAGAATCATCTTAGAACTGTTTGCCTAAAAACAATTTGCCAAAAGCCAAAAAGTATATGTGGTGATAAAATTAGATGTTTAAACATGCTCACTAGATCACAGGGAAGGAAAATTGAACATGATATTTTCTTTACTCACTTTTAAATTTTATACAATGCTTCAGTATACTTTTTTCCCTGTGTGTTAAAATATGCGTAACATAAAAATTACCACTTTAATTATATTTTTCCTGATTCTTGTTCTTCTGTATACCATTTTAACCATTTTTAAGTGTACAGTTTATATAGCATTAAGCACATTCACATTTTTGTGCTATTTCAGTACACTTTTCCCTGAAATTATTATATTGAAATAATTTGATATTTTTATGATTAAGATCCCATGCTGTGTTTGCATTGAAAAAATAGAGTTTCTTTGGAGCTTATCAATGTGTTGTGAGGGAAAATGATTTTGTTTGTTTTATTTTTAAGGAACTTGCAGTATATTTAATCTTGGGCTCAGAGAGCAAATATCAATGGGAATTTATGGAAATATGTTTATTAATTTGGCTTATGTGAACTTTTTTCAATATTAGTTTAAAATAAAATATGTTTAAGGAGCTGAAAATATTTTACTGTTGTATAGAAAATAATGAAAAAATTAAAATAATATTTGCCCATTTCCTCCTAGTGTTTTGAAATGATTTCTAAGGTTAGAAATCAGCCCTTACCACTTAAGATTAGATAGAAATTATCTTCATGATATGAATATATTGCAAACAATGCTCATAGATAAATCAGTTTCTTATGTTATTTAACAAGAATAAAATATTTGTCTGTTGCTTTTGTAGTTTATGAGACTTCTTGATTTTGATGATCAAATCCTTTATAAAGTACTGATTAATTTTAAAAGACCATAGATCTAAAATGTAAAGTATTAATTGGAGATGTTCCAGGACCATATAAACCTAATTTGGTTTATTTGCTTTATTATTTAACTTATTTAAATTTGATACCTTCTTGGGAAATCATAACTTGGAAACTTATGCATAGAATGTTAGGAAATTGAAAGGATTGAACTCAATGCTTGACTGATTCTTGTACTTCACTAGAATATGGGCCCACGCTTTAGGGGACAGAGGCATCTCAATGTGCTATTTACCCTAACAAATTTAAAGTTTTTTTGTTGTAAGTTGCTCTAAGAGAAACTTTGGTGGGGGTGGGGGTGGAGATTGGTACTTCAACCTCTTACTTTCATTCCCAAGTGAGGAAAGTGGGCTTTGAAATAAATGAAAAGTCCTTGTACTTTATAAAAATCTTCTGGAAGGATGTTATGGTCATTGGCGTCAATTCAATCATCTAATGAGCTGGAAGCTGATGAGAGCATACCTGAACTGATAATAAACTTGGTTGGAAAGTGCCAAAAGTATGTGTCTTCCCAATATATAGATGACTGCAATGGATTCACAGTTATTTCAGAGTAATTTCTTTTTTGTGTGTGTTTACGAACAAGGGAAACCTATAACTAGCATTTTAACTTTCTTAGTCTGTTTATCTTAATAGTCCTCCTTTCCCACCTCCAGTTTGCTAAAATCTTATTGAAGGGAATACAGACATAGGGGCATAGGACTCTTGTCAAAGAGGCTGTGATGGTGAAGTAGCTCAGAAGGGGATTGGAGTCTTCCATTCTTCCTGTGCACTGAAACACCATTTCCATCTCCCCTCCTCCCCACCTGTCAGAGCCAATGCATAGCTCGACCATTGAAAGAACAGCTTGTTGGCACTCTGCTTCCAGATATTATCTTTTTCTGTAGTAGAATTAGAGAAATATCAGAGTCTTGAACCCTTTCCAGCATATTTTGAATATAAATAATCTTGGCTGTAGTTATCAGCAGACAAGCTAATTATTTGTTCATACATGCTCTGGCCAATTTTTAGCTCATTTGGGGACTTGTAATGACTTTGGTTTTTTGTCTTTTGTGAGATGGGAACCTAAGAATCAGATTTTTAAACTGGTTCCAAGTTTTAGGGATTGCAGGTCAAAGCAAGAAATAAGCATTATTGGGCAGGTGGATTTCTTTGGGGCTAGATAGAAAACATTTATCTCTTAAAGGCCTGTCTTATTAGGAAGGAAAGTCTTGAATGAAGGCAATATCATCACAAAGAAGTGAGGCTTATAAGAGAAAGCTATTTTGTTCTCATAAATAAACAGTGGCTCACTTGAGCTGACCAGAATGTTCAACTGTGGAGAAGGCTAGTGCAATACTATGTGGGGCATAGCAACCAGATACATGCATTTAGAGGAACACTGATTTCCCATTTAAGGTTTGCTAGGAACTATGAGAGGTTTTATAACTCTGCTGACAACAATTCTGTTTGGAACATGATCTGCTTATGTAAAAATAATTTTTAATGTGAAAGCTCTCATTAGCTTAAAAGTCAAATCAAACAGTTGGCATTAAAAGCTGAGTCACAGTCTCACCATCACAATTCACAGTTTCCATCTCTATTTTACTTGGTAGATTAGTCCCGTCTCAGCAGTGCCATTAGGTGCCTGCCTTGATGCTGCGGAAAAATACCAACAAACATCTGATATGACGATCTTAAATGTGTTCTATTAGAGCATCTGCGTACAAACGGCTGAAGATTTATAGATGTTTTTTAACTTAAGGATGAGGAAATTGACCACTATGGGATAATTAAAAATAGCAACTCTCTGGAAAAGCAGGCGCAAAGCTGTTAAATGCCAGGGCACCGAGAGACAACATTTTGTAATCTAAACTGGGTAATTTATATCTTTGTCACTTGAAGATCTGATACATAGTTGAGTCAATGAATCATCCCACCAACATCTCATGACTAAAGCAAATTTTGTTCTTTTCACAGGCATGGTTTTAGTCAATTGAATAATAAATTAACCTGTCTTTTCTGTATTGTGGGATAGGCAGGCTCATGCAGGCAGGGTCAATTAAATGAGGACTCAGAAAAGAGATTCTACTCTGTTTTAAAAGAATTCCAGTGAAGGAGATGGCCCAGACAATTTGGTTATTCTTTTTGTGTTTGAAATAGTAACACCATGTGGTTGTTTTCAAAATATTTTCAGTTTATCACTGAAGACTTATGTGAAATCTTCAGAAGTCAGGAATGAATTAGCTTCTGGATAACCCCACAATATTCTGGTCAGTACCTACCAATGGTCCTGTGGTGACCGGACACATGAGGAAATGCTCCTCTTCTTTTGGAAGGAATAACCTTACAAGTGCTCACAGTTTATAAAGAACAGTCAGGTGCATTTTCGCTTTTGAGTCTCACAATAACACTATATTATAGATAAAGATTACTAATTCCTATCAGAAATTAAGATTCAGAAAGGTTAAGTGACTTACTCAAGGTCATATATCTAGTGGGTGGAATAATCACAACTCACAAATAGTTATTTTTGCTCTGAGGACAATGCCCTTTTTTTTACTGACCCTACATTTTACTGACTCTTTAGTATGCTTGTAAAATTGGGCATGGTAAACATGCATTAAGATGCTTCTGGGAAATTTGTTCTTGGGACAATTTTTTGAGTTGATGATGTGGTTGGGAACATTATTAACTTGAGTCTATGGTCAGAACAGAGGAGATGATAAAGAAATATCCAGTTTAATGGCATTGGTCAGATGTTTAATGTACGTGAATTGGGAGTGATAGACTCAGTGGACAGTTCAAGACTAAGATGAAATCCATCATCTCATGAGTATTCAGCGGACTAGAGCTGTATCTTAGGAAGGACAGCAAGTGAAAAGGCCTAAATACAATCAAGAAGGAAACAGCCACAAGAAATAATGAACCTGCTTAAGATACACTAATCTGAATGAATGAAGTTCCATGCCCGGATGGCACTGTTGATCAGAGAGGGGGAAATAGGCTGAAGAGACTGGGATTCTGTGAGACTAAGACCCAAGGACACTTCCAGAAATGGAGGCATTTGCAAAGTGCAAGCGTTCCCTGTGAAATCTGGCAAAAGGTTTTGAAATTTAACTGACATCAGAAAAACCTTAAAAGTTAGTGGAGCCATTCACATTTCTGTTTAGTTGTAAGCTGTGTTTGCTAATGGCATTAGACTCATATGCTGGCGTGAATTCCTATAACGTTCATTTAAATTGTTTACGTGAAAATGAGTTGGAAAATTTGCTCAGCTGAGAGCCATTGGCTATTAGCTCTCAATCTGACTTTCAGGACGCCTCAAAACACTTTGAGGAAAAAGAGTGATTTTTGGTTAAGCTGTTTAGTTAAGCCCTTTGTGATATAAGGTATGTTACAGTAAAAGCTTTTTTATTTAAACTAGCTTTAAGAGAGAACTTTTTAAACTGTTGCAAAATATAAATGAAGAATACTTAAAGAAATCCAGCTTTATTTCTTTCACATATCAATTGGGAGTTGAGCGAGGTAGTCAATGCACCAGCAGGAAGAGGTTCTTAAGAAATTTGCTTTAATGAACAAATAAGAGTGATTTATACTTAATGTTTACCTTTATTTCAAAGAACAAACAGGCATTTGAAAAATAAGTTTTTTTCTGAACCGAGTGTCAATTTTCTTAGCAATTTTTCTTTTCTGAAGCACCATGAAGGTAAATTTTAGGCTAGCTTCTGTTGAAATAATCACAATATCTCACAAAAATTTGGGGAGATCATAGAGTGTTACTGAATCTGTCTATTTTCTAAAGGAAATTGATTCATTCTTTTCAAATTATTTTACAGGATCCTTCAAACCAAAAATGTGGTGGAAGAAAGAAAACCGTGTCTTTCAGCAGCATGCCATCAGAAAAGAAAATTAGCAGTGCAAACGACTGCATCAGCTTCATGCAAGCGGGCTGTGAGCTGAAGAAAGTCCGGCCAAATTCTCGCATTTACAACCGTTTTTTCACTCTGGACACAGACCTCCAGGCTCTTCGCTGGGAACCTTCCAAGAAGGACCTTGAGAAAGCTAAACTCGATATTTCTGCCATAAAAGAGATCAGACTGGGGAAAAACACAGAAACATTTAGAAACAATGGCCTTGCTGACCAGATTTGTGAGGACTGTGCCTTTTCTGTACTCCATGGGGAAAACTACGAGTCCCTGGACCTAGTTGCCAATTCAGCAGACGTAGCAAATATCTGGGTGTCTGGGTTACGCTACCTGGTTTCTCGAAGTAAGCAGCCCCTTGATTTTATGGAGGGCAACCAGAATACACCAAGGTTCATGTGGTTGAAAACAGTGTTTGAAGCAGCAGATATTGATGGGAATGGGATTATGTTGGAAGATACCTCTGTAGAGTTAATAAAACAACTCAATCCTACCCTGAAGGAATCCAAGATCAGGTTAAAGTTTAAAGAAATCCAGAAGAGCAAAGAAAAACTAACCACCCGAGTGACAGAAGAGGAATTTTGCGAAGCATTTTGTGAACTTTGCACCAGGCCAGAAGTGTATTTCTTACTTGTACAGATATCTAAAAACAAAGAATATTTGGATGCCAATGATCTCATGCTCTTTTTAGAAGCTGAGCAAGGAGTCACCCATATCACCGAGGATATGTGCTTAAACATCATTAGGAGATACGAACTTTCTGAAGAGGGACGTCAAAAAGGGTTTCTTGCAATTGATGGCTTTACTCAGTATTTATTGTCACCAGAATGTGACATTTTTGATCCTGAGCAAAAGAAGGTTGCTCAAGATATGACCCAGCCATTATCTCACTACTACATCAATGCCTCTCATAATACCTATCTGGTAGAAGACCAGTTCAGGGGACCAGCTGACATCAATGGGTATGTTAGAGCCTTAAAAATGGGCTGTCGAAGCATTGAACTTGATGTAAGCGATGGTTCGGATAACGAACCCATCCTTTGTAATAGAAATAACATGACAACACATGTTTCCTTTCGAAGTGTCATAGAAGTGATAAATAAATTTGCCTTTGTGGCTTCTGAATACCCACTCATTCTTTGCTTGGGGAATCACTGCTCCCTCCCTCAGCAGAAGGTAATGGTTCAGCAGATGAAAAAGGTCTTTGGCAATAAACTGTATACTGAAGCACCTTTGCCCTCAGAATCCTACCTCCCATCACCAGAAAAATTAAAAAGGATGATCATTGTGAAAGGAAAGAAATTGCCCTCTGATGCAGATGTGTTAGAAGGAGAAGTAACAGATGAAGATGAAGAAGCTGAAATGTCTCGGAGGATGTCTGTAGATTACAATGGTGAGCAGAAACAGATCTGGCTCTGTAGGGAGCTCTCTGATCTGGTATCTATTTGTAAGTCTGTTCAGTACAGGGATTTTGAACTGTCTATGAAAAGCCAAAACTATTGGGAAATTTGTTCCTTTAGTGAAACAGAGGCCAGCCGAATTGCAAATGAATACCCAGAGGATTTTGTGAATTATAATAAGAAGTTCTTATCAAGAATCTATCCAAGTGCCGTGAGGATCGATTCCAGTAACTTGAATCCACAGGACTTTTGGAATTGTGGCTGTCAGATCGTGGCGATGAATTTTCAGACTCCGGGTCCAATGATGGACCTTCATACGGGCTGGTTTCTTCAAAATGGAGGATGTGGTTATGTTCTAAGACCGTCTATCATGCGAGATGAGGTTTCTTACTTCAGTGCAAATACGAAGGGCATCGTACCTGGGGTGTCTCCTCTAGTTCTTCATATCAAGATCATCAGTGGTCAGAATTTCCCAAAGCCCAAGGGAGCTTGTGCCAAAGGGGATGTCATCGATCCTTATGTTTGTATAGAGATACATGGAATTCCAGCGGACTGTTCGGAACAAAGAACTAAAACTGTACAACAAAACAGTGATAATCCCATTTTTGATGAAACTTTTGAGTTTCAAGTAAACCTACCTGAGCTGGCCATGATCCGTTTTGTTGTTCTGGATGATGACTACATCGGGGATGAGTTTATAGGGCAGTACACGATACCCTTTGAATGTTTGCAGCCTGGGTATCGGCATGTTCCCCTGCGCTCTTTTGTGGGTGATGTCATGGAGCATGTAACCCTTTTTGTCCACATAGCAATAACTAATCGAAGTGGAGGAGGAAAGGCACAGAAACGCAGCCTTTCAGTGAGGATGGGGAAGAAAGTTCGGGAATATAACATGCTCAGGAATATTGGTCTTAAAACCATAGATGACATCTTTAAAATAGCAGTTCATCCTTTACGAGAAGCCATAGACATGAGAGAAAATATGCAGGTAGGAAAAAAATCTCACATTCTCCTCCTCTACCCTGACATGATTGCAATATTATTGTAAATCTCCATATTAGATTAGTTATAAATCATTTCTATACCTAACTTTATATATTTATTAGAAGATTTTATATAACTTAATATAATTCTTGAAATATATCTTTGATATATTTTATATTATGTATATAATGTATTTTATATTATGTATATATGTATCTTATATTATGTATTTAAAATACATATTAAGGAGGGTTATTATAAAGTTTTTGCAAGTAGTGCTGATAAACTATATTAACATAAAGTGTTTTGGGTTAAGGATTATTTGGAGTCTAATTAGTAGAAAAATGAAGACCATCATTGTCATTGAATCTATGAAACACATACTAGGTGAGGCATAGTTCACTGTTAATAAAATGTAAAATCGTCATAATTCTAATTTCAAATGAATTTGTTAAAAAGATCGTAGCATGGACAAAAGTAGCGCTACATGAAATGCATTTTCAGTATGTTTGTCTGTCAAGTGCCTTTCTGATGGGATGACAAAAGCATCCCATTGATGATATCACATGGAGAGTGGTGAGATATTGTAGACTGCTCCTCTACGGAGAAAAGTCCAATGGAGGTGCATTTCAATAAACAGCCACTGGCATTATGTTTTTCTGATCATCATGACACAAAATCAAATAAGATATTCATGGCCAGTACTCACTTATGTGAATCTTCCAGTGCTCTGCTTTGAAAAGCACTGTATAGCCTTGTGCCACGTGCTACTTTGGTTTTGTGGCATACTTTTGGTGGCTGCTAAAAATTGAGAAAGATGAAGTGTAACAGTGAAGTAGCTCTCTGTGTACATCACAACATTTGTGGTTGGTTATAATCCATTTTCCTCCAATGATAGATGTCTCTAAAGGTAAGCTTTTAATGAACATACTTTTGTGTAAACCTGGGAGTGCTGGGGCTGATGTGTCATGTGGTCGGAAGTGTGATTCCATGTTTTCTTCCTCGCAGAATGCGATAGTGTCTGTTAAGGAGCTGTGTGGACTCCCTCCAATTGCCAGTCTGAAGCAGTGCCTATTGACCCTGTCCTCTCGGCTCATCACCAGTGACAATGCTCCCTCAGTCTCTCTCGTGATGAAAGACAGCTTTCCTTACCTGGAGCCTCTCGGTGCAGTTCCAGATGTGCAGAAAAAGATGTTGGCTGCTTATGATCTGGTAGGAAGTTGTGACTCCACAGCTCTTATCTGTTTGTGTGGAAAATCACTAGTGGCAGGGACCCTTTTGTGGAACTCCAAAGAATAACACAGAGAGGCTGCTTTTGAAACATGGATTGGAGGTAGCAGGCAGAGCCAGCCCACTGAGCTTCCACTGAGTTCCAGTGGAGACCTCTGAAAATGCCTTGCACAAATGGAAAATCTCTTCTTTAGCAAAAAATGAATTATTGAACAAACTCTCAAACCTATATATACATTCATCATCTAAATGACTTTAGATTGCAGTACAACCATTTAATTGTATACCTATAGGAAGTACACTTATGTCTCAGTGCTTCCTTATGATGATTGAGACAAAAGATCTCTGTGGAATCTAGATTTCTAAGCTAATACTATAATCTAATTTTTCTGAATATGTAATGGAATTTATGTAGTAATTAGATTTAAGAATAACTATATTTTTGCATTTCCTGATTCTATAAGCAAAATTAAGGAGCAGATGACAAACTGGGAATATTTGTAGCATATAAGTCAGATAAAATATAAATATCCTTAAAATAGAAAAAGCACTTAAAAGAATGATGGGAAAAATTGTATATCAATCAAGATTAAGTTCAGCTGCATATACCAAAAAATGTAACCCAATCATGGCTTAAAAATAAAAAGTTTTATTCTTTCACCTAAAAATTTGGAGATCAGCCATTGAGGGTGACACTTGTACAAAGTTCTTAAGAACCCAGGCTCCCTCTATTTTTCTCTTCCACCATCCCTAGGGCGTAGCCCAAATACTCATGGTCTAAAATGGCTGCTGAAGCTCCAACCATAACATCTGCATTTCAACCATCCTGAATGATGAAGAGAAGAAAGAGGGTATATCTTCTTCCCTGAAGGACATTTCTCTGAAATAACATAGATCAATTTTGCTTATATTTCATCAGCTTGGAGTTAGACACATAACCATACTTAGTTACACAGGAGAATGGAAGATGTCATTTCAAGGGGCTATATGCTAAAAGTTGGCTCTTCTGTTATTAAGAAATAGAGGGAGAATGGATGTTAGGAGAAAACTGCTACAGAGGTGAATGGGCAATTCATGTGTTGCCCCTTATAAAACAATGGAAATTGTAAAAATATATTTAACCTTAAAATAAGTTCTTAATTTGAAATTAAAGAATGTAATCAGATACTCCCTTCATCAAATTGGCATGTTTTTCTTTTTAAAAATAGTAGCTTTGATCAAGATTTTAAGAAAATGGACACTCTCATACATCAACCTGTAGTGGGAAAATAAATTAATATATTTCTTGGAGAAAAATTTGGCAAGATAATTTAAGATGTTATTCATTTGATCTATATATTTCATTTTGGGGGTTTATTCTAAGCTAAATAGAGGTGTGTGTAAACATTATGTTTAATGATGTCAACATAGAGGGATTAGTTAAGTAAAATATAGTCCATATTATAGATTCCTTTGAAGATATTAAAATCATGTGTTAGAAGAATATTTAATGATATGGAGAACTCCTCACAATCTGTTTTATAAAATATTTGGTTACAAAAAATATACACAATAGTATTTAAATTGTATTTGTATGTATGTGCACCTAAAATGCTAGCAGGTTATTACAGTGATTATTTTTATGTGAGAGTGAATTTTATTTTCTTCTTTATATTTTTCTATTTTATTCTGTATTTGCCAAACTCTTTATAATGAACTCCACTAATTTTATAATTGAGTAAAAATAAATGTTAAGGAAAAAAGAATAATATTTTCTCATTAAAAAACAATGAGAGGAAAGATATTTGGGTAAACATCCTGCAGCTGAAAAAGAAGCAGCCCCACAGAGCACATTCTGCTTATGAATGACTGTACCTGTTATAAAGTATACTTCATGGTTGCTAGGGGAAAAGTTCACCTATTACCTGTATCTCATTTTTCATGAAATCAATTTTTTCATCATAACAGTGGGATTGAAAGCTATTCGGTGAATAGGTATAATTGTCATTTAAGAGGTGAGATTAGGATACTAGTTGCCATAGAGACAGACAGTAGAAATCACTTATTCCTCCACTTCCCTTTTAAGCTAAAAAAGAAAAATCATTCATGGAGAGGGCAATCTCTGGAGCTGGGCTTGTGATAAACAGAAAGGTACCTGCTCTGTGGATGGACACTTTCCATTTCACATCCCCAAGTGTCAGATAGTGTTTTGTTATTTCAGTTTTATCTGCTGAACCCAAATCTGAAATACTAGCCTTTTCTCATCTGTATTTTTAAAATGCAAATTGTGATCGTAGGCAAAGCATGGTTTTCCAAAGGTTAAAATAGGCTACAGCGGAAAGCAGAGATACTTATGACAAAGTCTTCATTTACTGTTTCCTATGGAAATGATTTTTCATTTTGGTAAGGCACTGAGTGTAGATCTCCCTACACAAAATAGTAAACTCGGTAGAACACAGAAGTGATTGAAACACTATTGAAGTCTCTGTTGAGTATTTTTTTGGGGGGTGAGGTGGGTAGGGACAGACACATATAATGATGATGTTGGCCTCAAAATTAAAGACACCATTTTTACTTTCTAGGATTTACATTGCATTGGTTGGCATCTTTAATGCTCTTTAGTGTTAGTATTTTTTAGGAGGTTTGAGATAAGATACTTTGTAGATCCAGGGTGATCATTGAAAAGCATAGATCAGATCATGTCACTTTCCTGCTTAAAATCCTCCAGTGGCTTCTAGTTACAATAAAACGAAATCTCCTTACTGTGGCTTTACATGACTGCCCTGCCTGCCTACTTCACCTGTGTCTGCAGCCCTACCTACCTCTCCAGCCTCCCCTGCCTCTCCAATCCCACCTGCCTCTCCCAGCCTCACCCCTGCACCCTCTCTTTTGCTTCCTCTCCTCTAGCCACATCGGCTTACTCTCTTTTTTCAATCAGACCAAGCTTATTCCCATCTCCAGGCCATTGCATTTGCTCTTCCCTCTGCCTGGAGTGTTCTTTTGCATGGATAGTTGCTTCTTTTCTCTTATTTTTTTAAGTTTTATTTTTAATAGATACATAATAATTATATTTACGTATGTGTGTTTATGAGGTACAGTGTGATTTTCCATACATGTATACATTATATAATGATCAAATTAGGGTAATAGCATATCCATCACCTCAAATATTTATCACTTCTTTGTGGCAAGAACATTAGGAATCCTCTCTTCTAGCTATTTGGAAATATACAATGTATTATTGTTAACTATAGTCAGCCGACTGTGCAAGGGAACACTAGAATTTATTCCTCCTTACCTCTAAATTCTTAGCTCAAGTGTCATTTCCTCAGAGAAGCCTTCCCTAACCGCTGTCTCCATCTGTCCCTCTATCACATGGCCATGTCTTATTTCTATCATTTTACTTAGCCATATTGAAAAAATATTTTGCCTGTCCTTGTGTTTAGTTTCTGCCATTCTCTTTTATGCTCCCCCCTCCACATGCCTCATGTATATTCCATGAGGGCAGAGGCCCTATCTGTCTGCTTACTACTGTTATCTCTAGCACCTAAAACAGTGCTGGGCATAGTGTGTTATCCATTAATGTCAAGTGAATAAAAAAATAAATAGTAGCATTGTTGGTGAAAGTGTAGTTTCCATCCTGTACTTGAATGTGTTTTATGAAAAATCATTAAATCTCCTTAGTTTCACTTCTCTGACACTACTCTCACTGAATTGCTCCTTGTCTTATACATTAACTTAAAAACTCACAGAGTAAGGCAAAACTATGGAGACAGTAAAAAGATTAGTAGTTGCCAAGGGCTCAGAGGGGAAGGATGGAGGGATGAATAGGTGGAGCTCAGAGGATTTCTAAGGCAGTGAAAGTATTCTACATGATACTGCGATGGTGGAAACATGTCATTAGACACTTGTCAAAACCCATAAAATGTACAACATAAAGAATGAACCCTAATGTAAACTATGATCATTAATAATAATGTATCAATATTGGCTTAGCAATTGTAGTAGATATATCATACTAACACGAAATGTAAACAGCAGTGGGAACTGAGGATGGGGATGAGGTGAGGGGGTTATGGGAATTTCCACTCAATTTTTATGTAAGCTTAGAACTTCTCATAAAAGTAAAGTCTAAATAACCCCCCTATGGACTATTGATAAGAACTTATTTGGATGAATAAGGCAGAAAAACAAATCCAGGGTTTATTGCCTGGTTGGGGTAGGTATTCAAAAATGAACAGCTTAAGTTCAACTTAGATTCAAGTTGCTTAAATGTTTGGATGTTTCAAAAATAGTAATGAACTGTATAAATGCTGTCCAAGAGGAAAATTGTAACCACAAAAATACGGAATAGGTTAGGAATAAAAAGCAACCTGAAATTTTTCCTGAACAGATACAAATGCTTGGCTTATTACAGTATCAAAAGAAACAAATCAGGCAACCCAGTAGACCTACATTTATTAAAAGCCAACTTGGGTGCATTAAATTATGCTATTTATCTAGGGGAAATAAAATGAAAATATTCTAGAAAACACTGACCCTGAGTTCATCTGTACAGATATTTTTCTAAACTTAGCTTTCTCTAATGACCCGAAATGGCCACTATTCATTACCAAACACTCGCTCATTTAATATTCAGAACTATTTCCCCCTGAGGGTTTTAAAAATTCAGTCTGAAAAGCCATTTTAATATTAGTTTTGTAATTATAATTCTATTATAGCAACTGTGTTGATATCAAGAAATCAAAAACCAAATCTGTTTGTAGTAGAATGGGCCTATTTATGTGGCATAGTTTCAGAAGACCAGGGAGCTCACACTCCCCCTGCATCTTAACACATCTTATTTAAAACATATGTTTTCTGTCAGCTTCCTGGTACTTGAAATTTCAAAATTACAACTAATTCCTTAGGGTTAAGACTTTTTATCTCTTAAAATGGAAAACCATCTCTGCGAGTAATAACACATTGGGTTATCAGTCATTCATTCATGCTGTTGAATGAAT